TATCCCAAACTGTCTCGAACTTGAGGAATGAGGCCACCAAACTTGCATCATGCCCTTCCAAGAGATCACACGTGGTAAACATAAGTTAAGATGAGAGGCAAAATATTTCCATATTCTCAAAGCGATGTCTCCTGTACATAGGATATGATCAACAGATTCCACAACAGACATCTTACAACAATCACATTTCGATGCCAAAGGAATCCCTAAAGATTGGATAATTTCATCGGTAGTGATTTAAACATTATTTGTATTCTTGCTAAATAAACATATTGAATTTTTTCACTTTGTTTTTTACTAATTTTTGTTAATAGTTCATCAACTGTATTTTTTGTTAAAATATTTAATTTATTTTGTCCATGAGTTGTTTTTACATCTATGATTTTTTCTATTTTGTGATATTCATTTATTGCTATTCTTTCTTTTTTCCAAATTCTATCAAATACTTCCCATTTTCCTATTTATAAGTCTAATGATAATTTTTGCAATTTTCTAAACTTGTTATTATCAAAAGTGACTTTTAATCCATATCCTTCTATTCCTTCATATTCTTGTATATTTATATTATTATTTTCTATTTCCTCAATTTCTCTATTCAGATCCTGATCTATCTTTTTCTGTTTCACTTATATATACTTCTTGATTATAATATTCTTCAATATCTGATATTTCACTTAATTCATCATTTATTTCTAAATATTCTTTTTGTAATATTCTAACTTTCTTTTTATCACAAGCAGGGCTTATATGACATATTTCTCCACAATTCTAACATTTACATTGACTTTTACCTTTCTTATAATTCTTATTTTTCTGCTGATTATATTGGTTATTTTTTCTTTTATAATACCTTCTTCTGGATTTTATATATTTTTTATTAAAATTTCTAAATTTTTAAAACTTTTTATCTTTAAACTTTCTTTTATTAACTCTTCTTTCAGGATTATATCCCCACTGCACAGGGATTTTCATATCTTCACAACATATTTTAGTTAATTTTCCTAATTTTTTCATTAATTGTCTTTGTTGACATATATATGTAAGTCTTTCAAATAAAATTTTTATTCTTGAACCTAAAGTTTTAGGTATTCCAATATTATCTCTAACATATTTTTCAAATTCTATTTTAAAATATATTGCCCAAGAACCTGATAATTTGTTATAGTACATATCTTGGTATACTTCTTGATTTTCATTACTATAAAATTGAACATAATAATAGTTTCTAAATTCACAAGTATATTTTTTTAATTTTACACATATCACATATTGTTAAATTTATTAATTTAATCCTAGCACTATCTTTTTATCTTATTTCTTCTCTTTCAGCATTTCGTATCCAATTTTTTCCTAAAAATTCATCAGAAATATATTCTACTAATTTTTATATACTTTGTCTATCTGATTTTATTATTTTTGTCTGTACATTTCTTTTTATTAATGTTTTTGTATCATTACATATTCCTTCCCATCAATTTCTAACATCTCCTTCAAAGGATGCTATTAGGAAATATATTCTTCTTTCAGTACTTTCCCATGTGTCATCTTTACTATATAAAAAGAATAATATCATTGAGTCTACCCAAATTAATAAGGCTTTTTTAGTATCTATTTTACAATTTAAATCTAGTTTTGTTCCTCCATGTTTAATTGGTTTATCATAATTATCATTTAATTTAAACCTATCTTTATATTTATTTCCTTTAGATGGTTGTTCATCTCTTACTTTATCATAAAATTGTCTATATGGTTTATTATATATAGGTGCATAACTTTCATCTGTGTCATGTAATTCTTGTTTAGAGGTTCCTGTTGAATTAGGTCCTCCTCCAGTATTCATTAAAACTTGGTATTCACTCGTATCAGTTAAGCTTAATTGATCAAAATTTTATATTAATAAATCTAACTCTTCATTCATCTTTATCTTCTTTTTCTTCTATTTTTAATTTTCTCAATGATTTTTCTCTAAATTATTTTTCTTCTTCTAATATTTTTGGTAATATATTTTTTCTAAATTCATCATCCATGCCTCCTGTTTCTACTACTATATTTTCTTTTTCTATATATTTTTTTCCTATTCGAGTCATTTTTTTTCTATAAGTTTTTTTTTATCTATTCTCTTATCTTTATTCTTATTATTTTCTTTTAATTCTCTAATCTCAATTTTTAATATATTTATATCATTTCTTGTTTCTTTTACTTCATTTCTCAAATCTCGTATATCATTATTAACATTTTTATTAATGATTTTAATTCTTCCATATATTCACTTATTGACATCTTAATTTTTTCTTATTTCTAACTCATAAGTTAATTTGCATCTTTTATCTTTTTTTTTTATCTATTATTTTTCTAAATCTCCTCTCAACTGTTTCTGGATCTACTAATTCTTCTTTAACTATAGTAAAATATTTGCTCTCAAGTCTTAGTCTTTTACATTTTAGTTTTATTAATTGTCGTATTCTCATTCCTTCTGGTATTAACATTATATTTCATATTTCTTCTTGTATTTTATTCATTTTTAAAAGTAATTTATTTAATTTTTTATGAGTATTATCAATTGTACTCATATTTTTCTTTATAATATAGATTATTTTCTTCATCATCATATATATTAATAATTTTTTTATATGTATAAATATATTTTATTCTTTCTATTATTAAATTTTCTAATATTTGTTCATTTATTTCTTTAGGAAGTTCTTTAATTATTGTCAAAGTTATTATTTTTAATTTATTACGAATAGGTTTTAAAAATATATAACTACATTTTTCTTCTTCTAAACACCAATAATTACCTATTTTCCTTAATTTAATTTCCATAATCTCTATGGCTCTGATACCAATTAGGAGGGGGCTACTTAGAGCGAACAAAAATCAATTAAATCAAATAAAAATATTAATCAAAAATTAAATAAAAATTATCAAAACTTCACTCAATATTTAATTTTAAGGACTAAAATAGAAAATTTCTATATTATGATGCTTTGTTATGTAATATTCAAATGGAAGGCATTTTTGGTATGTAAATTGCCTAAAGGTCATTTTGGAAAAGCAACCCTTTTGAAAAGATTATTTTCATGTATTTCCCCCTTTTGGAACCCCCTACTGTAGCTTTTGACTAAATTGTGTTGTGTTAATTACTCGTATTGAATTAAGCTTTTGACTAATTTGTCTATGTACTGAGTGGGTGTGTGTCTATATATATATATATCATGTGATTATTTACATATGAGATCGATCATTACTATATTGAATACATGAATGTTATCGACGTGTGAAATTGAATAATTTTATCACTCTCATCTTAAATTAAACAAATAGACTGCAAAACTGTTGTTATTTCTAAATTTCTACCAACAATCTTAACAGAATAAAATAGATTTGTCACTTTTTTTTTAGTGTTAGTGACTTTTTTCAATTTTGTCACTTTTTGAGCGTTTGTCACTTTTTTAGTTTAAGTCACTTTTTTGAATTCTATCACTTTTTTAAATTCGTCAAGTTTTTTAAATTTCTGTCACTTTTTTGAACTTTTGTCACCTTTTCTAGTAATTGTCACTTTTTTTAAATTTTTTTTTGTCATTTTTAAAGTGTTTGTCATTTTTTTCAATTGCCTTTTTTAAAATTTTATTACTTTTTTTAGTGAAATACACCACTTTCTAATAAAAGTGACATTATATGTAATTTTTAATAAAAAGTGATACTAAACTTTTAAAAGTGACATTGTGTCACTCTTTTTTTTTTTTTTTACTTTTCTTTAAAAAAAAAGTGACAATTTTTATTAAAAAAGCCACATTGTGTGACTTTTTAATTTTATACAATATTTTTTAGTTTCAAAAAAATTTTCATATGATTTTTCAAAAGACTCATAATTTTAAGGATATTTTTGTAAGTTGTCCTTTCAAAAATAAGGATCGGTACAAAGATCTCACCAATATTGTGCTTGTGGGCCATACCGGTCCAATCTACAATTGTTTTATAATTTTATTACCTTTTAAATTAAGTCATAATTCAAATAAATAAATATTTTTATTGATGTGTTGCAGACTACATTATATTTTTTGTGAAATATAAAAAATATTTTACAATTACAATTTATTAGTAGTGATAGATACAAAATTAGAGGTTAATTATATTCTAAATAAGTTGACAATAGATTGTGTTAAAAAAAGGTCCAATCCTTATGGTAGTCGTTTAGATAATCAAGTTCAACACGACTTGTTCATTATGACGGACCAAACCATAAATTGACCCGAACCCAATCGGGATGGTTCAGTCAAGTTTTAATAGGGTGGGTCATGCCCAACCTTGACCGCCTGACCTATTTTAACACAACTAAATGAAAAACTTTACCAAATTACCTTTAAAAAAAAAAGGTTGAACCCCATTCTTGAGGGTCCCCATCGTCCCGCCTCTAGAATTTTGTGAGGGAGGTAAATCGCGGGATATGCCCCAGTAGGCCAGGGAACAAGAGTTGTCTGTACACTGTGCCTACAAGAAGTCCAATTCCATGCTTTAGGAATCGAACCCCCACACTGCGACTTTTGGCAAGACGTGAGATAACCTCACTCCTGTCCTTTACACCACTGGGCTATGCCCCGTGGGACTTTTAAAGGTTGAACCCTAATTTTGAGGGCCCCCACCTTCCCGCCCCGTCCCTAGAGCTTTGTGAGGGAGGTAAATCGCGGGATGTGCCCCAACAGGCTAGGGAATAAGAGCTGTCGGTACACTACGCCTACAAGGAGTCCAATTCCATGTTTCAGAAATCGAACCCCCACACTGTGGCTGCCAACAAAGCGTGAAATAACCTCACTCCTATCATTTACACTACTAGACTATACCCCGGGGGGCAAAAGGAAAATTTTACTTATTTCTATGCCTAGCCAAACATGCTGTCAACATTAAATTTTATACATTCTATTAGTGAATGACTTCAATGCCCCTAAATATATAAACTGTGGTCCATATTAGAAGGAAATCCTGTAATCTTATCTTGTGCAGCCTATACTGTCACAACCTTCAATTCTTTGCCACCAAAAAAAAAAAAGTAAAAAAGATTTAAAAATGGCAGCAGCAGTTTCATCTTCTTCCTTACCAGCAGTGCCTGTAATATCACTATCTAATAGGAGACAACTGATTATATGCAAGGCAGTAAATGAGGCCTCTCTTTCTCCTCCAATTCTCTCCAAGAGAAGCCTTTGCGTTAGTATAAGTTCCGTATGTGTGCTCGCCTTAACTGGTAAAGGCCATTTTGATGCCAATGGAGCCATACTGGAGGCGGACGATGATGAAGAACTCTTGGAGAAAGTGAAGAGAGACAGGAAAAAGAGAATTGAAAGACAAGGTGTCATCAAGTCATCAACCAAAGAAACAGGTTAACTTCTTCCTTTGTATTTTCTGGTTAGTGGATTTTGTTTTATGGGCATGTGTGCTGTTTTTGAGTAATTTTGAGTTGATGTGTTTATTGGATTCATGTCATAGATAATTTTTCTAATGATCTTGATAAAAAATTGGAAACAAAGAATCACTATTATTACTAGAAATTCTATTGCAGAATTTTCTTTTGCAGTGGACTATTGGCCTTTAAGTAAGTTATGTTTGTTCAGAAGTTTGAAGTGGAGAATCCCTGTACAGGACAATGAAATCACCAATTACAGTATTTTCCACTATGGTCTTTTAGCTCACTTATTTGCTAGAATGCATAGAGGGAAGAATAAAAGAGAAACTCGATGTAAAAGAAAGGAACTAAACTGCTTTATGATTAATAGAATGGAAATTTTTAGACAGAAATCCCATGATGTTGTAATGTTGCAGCATACCTGCAAGATCTTGTTTATAAACTGAGCAAAGTGGGTCAAGCCATTGAAAACAAAGATCTATCTGCTGCAAGTTCAGTTCTTGGTCCAAGTACTGATACAGAATGGGTTTCAAAAATCAATTCAGCATTTAACAAGGTTTTTTCTGAAATACTTTCATGCTTTGTCTCTGTCAGTTTCTGCATGAAACGACAATTGTTTATGTAATTGTGGCTTATGTTTCTTACACCTTCTCCCGGTAGTTGAGCTCTAGCCCTGAAGAGAAAACCGAGGTCGACAACTTCAACTCCTCACTCTCGTCTTTAATTTCATCAGGTGACCAATACTGACAGTATCCACAGCAATGGTTGCGCATTAAGGTTACGTCTAACTTAATGCTGTATATATGTATGATGAATGCAGTTTCTGGAAAAGACATTGAAGCGTCGAAAAAAGCTTTTGTGGCATCAGCCAGTGCACTTGAGAAGTGGACAGTATTGACAGGGTTGAATGAACAGCTTAAAGGACTTTGAACCACAAATTAAGAAGCAGAGCTTATACAATATGGGCATTTCCTCAACTTCCAATATTAGAGGATTCTTTCTTCGACTAACTTTTCCGGGATCAAATGATAATTATTCTTTGCCTTATGGAGCTTTTGAATGTTGCTCGCACTTGAGCTCAAATTGTAACTGAATTTCCTACCAGATAATCAAAATTTTTTATGGATCTTTCATGATTAGATATGATTTCTTGGAACACTATACTTGTATGATACCCCATATATAATCAGCAAAGACAAGGGATCTGCTTGACTCATGGACTTACAAAATACGAATGTAAATTTTCTTCAGAACCAAAGAGGAAAACAGTTTTGAAAGCTGCATGTCACAGACTTGACTTTCCAAACTCACCATCCTGAGGTGTTAAGGCCGCATGGTACTCGGTGCTTGACATTTTCAAGTCTGTGACATGCTGTATCTTCCTACTTTTTCATCTTAAGATTTTCACCAGTTAAAAAATGTAGCAGATCACAAGGACTAGACAATGAAGAAACATAAACATCACCATAGGTATAAACTGTCAAAATATATATAAATTGCCTAAAGAACTAGATACAAAAGAGGTGTATTGTTATACAGAATCATATAATCAAACTATCTTCAGAATGAAGATTCTTAGTGAAGGAAACTAACAAACACCAAATGAACTTAATTTTATTTTTAATGGCCTTTAGATAATCAGTACATTGGCACCAATCACTTTGTTCTTCCACTTCCTAAGTGGTCCATTCTAATTCCCCACAGATGCTCCCCTACTGCTTTCATGTTTGGACGATCGGTTCGTGTTGGCGCTGCACAATTGATTGCCAGACCGAACATTTTCACCAGGATTTCATGCTCTACTTCTTCCTTCATTAAAGGATCTAACATATCCATCAACTTCCCTTCACTGTATTTTTTGAAAGCCTGCATAAAGATATTATTTACTCGGTGAATATTTTCTAGTAGGGCGTACTGAACATGCATTTAGTGGAATAAAATACAGCTTTCCAACCATAATTGAAAAATGTTCTCTTCAATGAACTTTTTAAAACATCACTATACATTCCTTGCTAACAAAGTCCATGTCAGAAGCATATCATGAAAAGAAGAAACAAAAAAAATCTAGAAATCAGATTCCCTAGTTTTGGATAGTAGTTTCCCTGCATTGGATCAAAGTTTAAACTTTCTCCTAGTTGAAGAACTTGAGAAAACAAGCCAAGATATCAAAACCACTGGTGTGGGGAAGGACTAGGGATGTCAAATGGGGCCAACCCGACTCGACTTCCCACGATCCAAGTCCAAGAGCGGCTCGTAGGCCGTGTGCCCACGAGCTCGTTAAAAAAAAATGCAAATTTACAAACAAAAAATAAAAAATAAAAAAATGAGAGTCAAAAAATGTGCAAATTTACCAAAAAATAAAAAAATCACAAGCTCGTGAGCGACTCGTGGGTTCAGCTCTGCTCGGCCAGTGAGCTTGTGGCTTGTGAGCTCACGAGCTCATGGGCCGAGCCGAACTCGCCCTTGAGCAACGAGCCGAGCTCAAGCTCAACTCTTCTTTCACGAGCCACGAGTTCGGCTCACCACGAGCCTAAGCCGAGCTCGTTGGTTAAAGGGCCGAGCCGAGCCATTGCCATCCCCAGGAAGGACATGGTAACTTTTAGTGGTTAGAAACTTTCATACTCAAATCTTTACTATTTTCAACATAACCAACATTGTCAAAGCTATTGGGTTGTTATTGATCTCAAGAATATTGCTTGTATCCAAAGAATGAAACCAGCCTATAAATTGAAAATAGCTGGTTCCACGAATTCTTATTTCAGGGGAATTTCTAGTCATCTGAAGGGGTTTGAGACAGGCATCCAGATAGCATTTCAAACCTAACAATATCCTGTACCTTGTTTGGGTTGGACTTAATTGTTTGATTGTAAATGATTTTATTACTACTCATTAAACTTTTTCCAGCATTCTATTCCTGAATTATTCAGTTTGCTTCATTTCTTCTCTTCCACCATCGATTTCGTCATTTTTGTTTCCAAGACTAAATTGATAGTTTGACATGGTATACACCTTGCCCAACAAGCTCGCAATCCCATACTTAGAATCGAGAACTTTTTGACATCTAGGTCAGCGATTCAACACAAAATGATGCAGACAGATGTTTCATTACTACTAAGACTAAAAACGCAGACTCCAAAACCAGTCCACCTCAGAAAATTCTACAGCAATATAAAACCAAGTTAATGACTTCATGAGATGTGATTTTTAGCAATATGGAAGCATTATATCATCTGATCGATCAAATATTTCGTCATAAAACGACTCTTGCATCAGGACTAAAGCAAATAATCTTGCATTTACAAAAAGGAAAATCTTACCCATCTAAGCGTCACTCTCTCATCAGGTGGTCTCTTCATTTCCACAGGCCGACGGCCTGTTAAAATTTCTAAAAGCAATATCCCAAATGAATATACATCGCTCCTCGCAGTGAGCTGATTTGTCCTCATGTACTCTGTGTCAAGGTAACCAACTGTGCCTTTTACTTTTGTTGAAACGTGCGATTTGTCAGAGTCTATCTCTCCTAGCTTTGCAAATCCGAAATCAGCAACTTTGGCTCTCATGCTCTCTGTCAAGAGAATATTGGAGGACTTTACATCTCTGTGGATGATTTGCTTTTCTGTCATAAGATCAATAAATGAATGGGCATCATCGCTTGAGCAACAAAAACAAAGGACAAGCACATGAAATCAGGATAAGTGGTAAAAAGTTCTAACATGGACTTACTTTGAGCTAAACTTAGCACGATAAATTAAAACGTATTTATAATTTCCACATGCTTTGAAACATACCCATGATTGATAAGTAAATAACTTTATAACCAAAAAATTGTTCCATATTAAAAACTTATACACTTCAGGTGTTCAGGATTTCTTGTAAGGTTGCAGACTCGCAGGGCTATGCTACATACTGACTGGGGTATTGCTCAATGCTTCCACGTGAATATCAAATGCCACCCACATAATACTATGTCATGGCTATTTCTATTAGTTTTTTGCTTCAAAATATTTCTATGTAATTAGATAAGTCATTCCTAGCCCATTTCTTTTGAGTCGGTCTAATTTCATCAAATACCAGATTGTTTCTCTCTAATCTACAAGGACCGTGAATTAATCTTAAGCCAAGTTCCACGAGCGGTTAGACAAATATAAAGCATTGTCCAACACGGATATTCTAAAACTTCCAGGATGATTCTAAAACTAAAGCATTGCCCCCACACTCCCAAGGTACTTTGGGTTGGATTACACTACAAGCATCAGGGAGCACCTCCATCATTAAATACAGCTCAAGATGATCATGGACCTGGTCATATTTATCTCTTGTTATTGATGCATAAATGGTGAGAACTGTAGAACAGAAATGTAATTATCTTTCAGGTCTGTCTAGGTCCAAAAAATGAGGTTCAATTTGTGTTGATGTAGACTTTTTCATAAAATTACTGAAAACTGAACAATGTAAAAGTGGTCGTTACCTGTGTATAGATGGAGATAGGTCAGGCCATGAGCAACATCAATGGAGATTTCAAGTCTCTGATTGAAATCTAATATTTTCCCCTTCTCACCTACCAAGAACACATACAAAAAAAATAGACCAAATATTGTATTTTCACTGTCTAGTTAACTGGATTAGTGGCATGCCTTAGAGTTCAAGGGTTTACCGTCTAGATGTTCTCTAAGCGTACCATTTGGCACATACTCTGTTATAATCAGGTGCTCACCCCCATTATCGACATAACCAAGCAGCTTGACTAAATTCCGGTGCTCAATTTTAGCCAGAAGTGCAACTTCACTACTAAATTCAGTTCGCAGGGCTTTGAAGAATTCCTGCAAATTCTTTATTTCAATAGTATATATAATTTAAAGTAATATGCATGGTAGAGGATCACAAGGAGAAACGTATTTCTCACAGACAACCCTCCGAGGGTAATGTATCAGTCTTCGACAAGTATCATACATCAATATCCCCCTCCACCCCCTCCACATGTTCCAACGAGAGAGGAACACGGCACCAACACGCCTTGAACAATTGTCTGACGTGCCTCAAGTGACATGATCTATTTTAATATTTTGTTTGATTGCTGTCTTGCTGATATGCAAGGCAACTGTGGGTCCTATTTTATGTGAATTTATACAATATAAAATTTTGCAAATTCTGATTATAAAAAATTCAGTTAAACAATGTGTTACAATACAAACTTTATGTCAACTTCACTTCATACCCAGTCTTCCCACTTTTTGATAAATGATATTGTATTATGTTGGGACTAGTAACACAACATACAAACCAGAGTCAGATAGCTACTCTACTAATTCGAAAAATCTCAGCAACAACCTAACTGCCAACTGAAAAATGAGTGATCCTTTTTTGATCAAATAAAAAGCATAAAGTAATCATACAAAAAAATTATAATTTTATATTACTCTAATCTATGTGTCCATGTCCCATAATTTTGTCAAGGTGCATGTATCTGTTTCGAAGCTGTTGATATAAACATGCTCCTTTTTTTACCCCAAATTTGATGCAGTAAGTGATAGCCACGGTTTCTGTAAGGGAAAAATGCTTAATGCACATATGTTATCTACAGGATAAACATTGAACAAGAAGATGTATCCACCATGTTTCAAGTTTCAATGCCTTTGCCAAAAAACATTATACGAAATTATTTGTTACAATAGGGTTACTATCAAAAAAGTTGCGAAGTTAAGGTTGGTCTATTGAAAGAATGATTAAGATACCTTCTTTGCTCGTTTTACAGCAACCACCTGGCCATCTGGTAGTTCAGCCCTGTAGACAGTTCCAAACCCACCTTCACCTAATATTAGTGACGGGGAGAAATTGCGTGTTGCTCTGGCAATTTGGCCCATATTGAGATGAACCAATCCAACCCCATTAAGTATCGGTGACATGGAAAATCTTAGAGGACTAGGTGCAACTCGGAGTGGACCGCCCGGTATCTTTTCAGAAACAGAATTCCTTTGTACAGACAAGATTGAATCCGCTGAAAGAATAATTAAGTCTTGCATAAATATACACACACAATTAACTGAATCAAGGTATACAAAAATATACTAAATCTACCAAACTGAGTGCATCTTTCGCAAAGCTTATAATTGCTTACAAGCTGGTCAAAGTCTTTTTTTATCTACACA